TGTGCCTAATTGTGGTTTAAATTTATTTAATTATTGATAATGTAGTCAGATACTTTTATAATTGATAACTTTATTTTATTCCTATTTTTCATCCAAGAAACTGAACAAAATCTTAGATGACATCTTCATTCGAACTCGATGACAAACTTGAATCTAAATATTACCAGAATGCATCACATTCGTAGCCAAACTTTAAAGAGAAGAAAACTAAGAACATGATATCCAGGATATTAGTTGACGCTTTTAAAGTATTTTGTACTGACTTCCGATTTACTTTATATTCATTACGTCAAAGTCTTAATCGGGAACCGTTTAACACATAAATTGAATATTGGAAGTCCTGTACACTATGTGTGAGTAGATATGATCTTATAAAATGTAAAATGGACTGTGAGTATTGGATTTAGTCTGAGGAGTGCCATATTATCCGAAGAAAGGATCAATTTTAAACCTATCACTTACAACATTTAAATACAGAAATAATGGTTAACAAAAAGTCTTCTCATTAGAAGACTAGAAATTTGGGTAAGTTTGCTTTACTTCATATTGGTAAATAAGTTGTGCCTAATTGTGGTTTAAATTTATTTAATTATTGATAATGTAGTCAGATACTTTTATAATTGATAACTTTATTTTATTCCTATTTTTCATCCAAGAAACTGAACAAAATCTTAGATGACATCTTCATTCGAACTCGATGACAAACTTGAATCTAAATATTACCAGAATGCATCACATTCGTAGCCAAACTTTAAAGAGAAGAAAACTAAGAACATGATATCCAGGATATTAGTTGACGCTTTTAAAGTATTTTGTACTGACTTCCGATTTACTTTATATTCATTACGTCAAAGCCTTAACCGGAAACCGTTTAACACATAAATTGAATATTGAAAGTCCTGTACATTATGTGTGAGTAAATATGATCTTATAAAATGTAAAATGGACTGTGAGTATTGGATTTAGTCTGAGGAGTACCATATTATCCGAAGAAAGGATCAATTTTAAACTTATCACTTACAACATTTAAATACAGAAATAATGGTTAACAAAAAGTCTTCTCATTAGAAGACCAGAAATTTGGGTAAGTTTGGTTTAATTCATATTGGTAAATGAGTTGTGCCTAATTGTAGTTTAAATTTTTTTAGTTATTGATGATATAGTCAGATACTTTTATAATTGATAATTTTATTTTATTCCTATTTTTCATCCAAGAAACTTAACAAAATATTAGATGACATCTTCATTCGAACTCGATGACAAACTTGAATCTAAATATTACCAGAATGCATCACATTCGTAGCCAAACTTTAAAGAGAAGAAAACTAAGAACATGATATCCAGGATATTAGTTGACGCTTTTAAAGTATTTTGTACTGACTTCCGATTTACTTTATATTCATTACGTCATAGTCTTAATCGGGAACCGTTTAACACATAAATTGAATATTGGAAGTCCTGTACACTATGTGTGAGTAAATATGATCTTATAAAATGTAAAATGGACTGTGAGTATTGGATTTAGTCTGAGGAGTGCCATATTATCCGAAGAAAGGATCAATTTTAAACTTATCACTTACAACATTTAAATACAGAAATAATGGTTAACAAAAAGTCTTCTCATTAGAAGACTAGAAATTTGGGTAAGTTTGCTTTACTTCATATTGGTAAATGAGTTGTGCCTAATTGTGGTTTAAATTTATTTAATTATTGATAATGTAGTCAGATACTTTTATAATTGATAACTTTATTTTATTCCTATTTTTCATCCAAGAAACTGAACAAAATCTTAGATGACATCTTCATTCGAACTCCAGCATGAACAACATTGACCATTAAATCCAACATTACCAGAATGCATCACATTCGTAGCCAAACTTTAAAGAGAAGAAAACTAAGAACATGATATCCAGGATATTAGTTGACGCTTTTAAAGTATTTTGTACTGACTTCCGATTTACTTTATATTCATTACGTCATAGTCTTAATCGGGAACCGTTTAACACATAAATTGAATATTGGAAGTCCTGTACACTATGTGTGAGTAAATATGATCTTATAAAATGTAAAATGGACTGTGAGTATTGGATTTAGTCTGAGGAGTGCCATATTATCCGAAGAAAGGATCAATTTTAAACTTATCACTTACAACATTTAAATACAGAAATAATGGTTAACAAAAAGTCTTCTCATTAGAAGACTAGAAATTTGGGTAAGTTTGCTTTACTTCATATTGGTAAATGAGTTGTGCCTAATTGTGGTTTAAATTTATTTAATTATTGATAATGTAGTCAGATACTTTTATAATTGATAACTTTATTTTATTCCTATTTTTCATCCAAGAAACTGAACAAAATCTTAGATGACATCTTCATTCGAACTCGATGACAAACTTGAATCTAAATATTACCAGAATGCATCACATTCGTAGCCAAACTTTAAAGAGAAGAAAACTAAGAACATGATATCCAGGATATTAGTTGACGCTTTTAAAGTATTTTGTACTGACTTCCGATTTACTTTATATTCATTACGTCAAAGTCTTAATCGGGAACCGTTTAACACATAAATTGAATATTGGAAGTCCTGTACACTATGTGTGAGTAGATATGATCTTATAAAATGTAAAATGGACTGTGAGTATTGGATTTAGTCTGAGGAGTGCCATATTATCCGAAGAAAGGATCAATTTTAAACCTATCACTTACAACATTTAAATACAGAAATAATGGTTAACAAAAAGTCTTCTCATTAGAAGACTAGAAATTTGGGTAAGTTTGCTTTACTTCATATTGGTAAATAAGTTGTGCCTAATTGTGGTTTAAATTTATTTAATTATTGATAATGTAGTCAGATACTTTTATAATTGATAACTTTATTTTATTCCTATTTTTCATCCAAGAAACTGAACAAAATCTTAGATGACATCTTCATTCGAACTCGATGACAAACTTGAATCTAAATATTACCAGAATGCATCACATTCGTAGCCAAACTTTAAAGAGAAGAAAACTAAGAACATGATATCCAGGATATTAGTTGACGCTTTTAAAGTATTTTGTACTGACTTCCGATTTACTTTATATTCATTACGTCAAAGCCTTAACCGGAAACCGTTTAACACATAAATTGAATATTGAAAGTCCTGTACATTATGTGTGAGTAAATATGATCTTATAAAATGTAAAATGGACTGTGAGTATTGGATTTAGTCTGAGGAGTACCATATTATCCGAAGAAAGGATCAATTTTAAACTTATCACTTACAACATTTAAATACAGAAATAATGGTTAACAAAAAGTCTTCTCATTAGAAGACCAGAAATTTGGGTAAGTTTGGTTTAATTCATATTGGTAAATGAGTTGTGCCTAATTGTAGTTTAAATTTTTTTAGTTATTGATGATATAGTCAGATACTTTTATAATTGATAATTTTATTTTATTCCTATTTTTCATCCAAGAAACTTAACAAAATATTAGATGACATCTTCATTCGAACTCGATGACAAACTTGAATCTAAATATTACCAGAATGCATCACATTCGTAGCCAAACTTTAAAGAGAAGAAAACTAAGAACATGATATCCAGGATATTAGTTGACGCTTTTAAAGTATTTTGTACTGACTTCCGATTTACTTTATATTCATTACGTCATAGTCTTAATCGGGAACCGTTTAACACATAAATTGAATATTGGAAGTCCTGTACACTATGTGTGAGTAAATATGATCTTATAAAATGTAAAATGGACTGTGAGTATTGGATTTAGTCTGAGGAGTGCCATATTATCCGAAGAAAGGATCAATTTTAAACTTATCACTTACAACATTTAAATACAGAAATAATGGTTAACAAAAAGTCTTCTCATTAGAAGACTAGAAATTTGGGTAAGTTTGCTTTACTTCATATTGGTAAATAAGTTGTGCCTAATTGTGGTTTAAATTTATTTAATTATTGATAATGTAGTCAGATACTTTTATAATTGATAACTTTATTTTATTCCTATTTTTCATCCAAGAAACTGAACAAAATCTTAGATGACATCTTCATTCGAACTCGATGACAAACTTGAATCTAAATATTACCAGAATGCATCACATTCGTAGCCAAACTTTAAAGAGAAGAAAACTAAGAACATGATATCCAGGATATTAGTTGACGCTTTTAAAGTATTTTGTACTGACTTCCGATTTACTTTATATTCATTACGTCAAAGTCTTAACCGGAAACCGTTTAACACATAAATTGAATATTGAAAGTCCTGTACACTATGTGTGAGTAAATATGATCTTATAAAATGTAAAATGGACTGTGAGTATTGGATTTAGTCTGAGGAGTACCATATTATCCGAAGAAAGGATCAATTTTAAACTTATCACTTACAACATTTAAATACAGAAATAATGGTTAACAAAAAGTCTTCTCATTAGAAGACCAGAAATTTGGGTAAGTTTGGTTTAATTCATATTGGTAAATGAGTTGTGCCTAATTGTAGTTTAAATTTTTTTAGTTATTGATGATGTAGTCAGATACTTTTATAATTGATAACTTTATTTTATTCCTATTTTTCATCCAAGAAACTTAACAAAATATTAGATGACATCTTCATTCGAACTCGATGACAAACTTGATTCTAAATATTACCAGAATGCATCACATTCGCAGCCAAACTTTAAAGAGAAGAAAACTAAGAACATGATATCCAGGATATTAGTTGACGCTTTTAAAGTATTTTGTACTGACTTCCGATTTACTTTATATTCATTACGTCAAAGTCTTAATCGGGAACCGTTTAACACATAAATTGAATATTGGAAGTCCTGTACACTATGTGTGAGTAGATATGATCTTATAAAATGTAAAATGGACTGTGAGTATTGGATTTAGTCTGAGGAGTGCCATATTATCCGAAGAAAGGATCAATTTTAAACCTATCACTTACAACATTTAAATACAGAAATAATGGTTAACAAAAAGTCTTCTCATTAGAAGACTAGAAATTTGGGTAAGTTTGCTTTACTTCATATTGGTAAATAAGTTGTGCCTAATTGTGGTTTAAATTTATTTAATTATTGATAATGTAGTCAGATACTTTTATAATTGATAACTTTATTTTATTCCTATTTTTCATCCAAGAAACTGAACAAAATCTTAGATGACATCTTCATTCGAACTCGATGACAAACTTGAATCTAAATATTACCAGAATGCATCACATTCGTAGCCAAA